AAACCCCACATGGCGGTGTCTAATGGCCAATATTGTCGCTGCATAGCAACCAACAACATCAACCAAGGTCCTGCCAATGCTGGCTTGGGGGGCCAACGGGTTATCTCTAGCTGGTAGAACACCAAGTTTGCCCAGGCACGTACGTGAGGCAAGGGGGATTGAACCCACGACCTCCTGAATGCAACTTCTGTGCCTTACCGTTTTCGTTTCGTGTGTCGTGCGTCGAGACCCTCTGTGCACTTCCTGGGAGGTGCAAATGTGGACAGATACCGTGCGTGTGACACAAGCACCCAAAGGAGCAAATAGATGGTACCAAGCGTCCCAGATATTTGCAACTTGAGGGTCCCGTGTGAGATGGCGCAAGGCGCCTCTCCCTGCATGTCGTGAAAAATGGGCCCAAAACTCAAACTCGGCTGCTGCCGGTGTCAGGAACTTCCTGGACCGGTAACGGAGGTCGGAGCGTGTGAACCCGGACGGCCAAGGAATGCTATGCGGAGGTGCGCCGATCGGTGGCATCGAGGTCGGGAGGGAGGCGGGGCCGGACACGTGTGAATCCAGTGGCAAGCAAGCAAGCAAGCAAGCAAGCAAGCGAGCACAAGGAAGAGCGTAGAGCAGCGCCATCGCGGAGAGGAGAGCCCAGCGGCATCGTGGATAGCACAGGGAAGGAGCGCGAACAAGGCGACCGACATAATGGGGGAAGGTGACACGAGGGAGAGAGGAAACACGTGAAAGCAGTGGCAGAGTCGCGTACGTACTAGGGACAACAAAGGTACGCTCTCTTTTTCTCTCTCTCTCCCTGTCTCTTTACCTCTCTCTCTCTCTACCTCTCTCTCTCTCTCTCCATCTCTCTGATGTCGGGGGCGGGGGAGGATCGGGCATGTGGACGAGGGCGGACGAGCATATGCGAGAAGACGGGGTAAGAAATACGGATTCGATGATGATGGTGGCGGGACTACGGCGGAGGAGGAACAGGAGGGAACAGGAGGGCGGCGGAACAGGGGTCGATGATGATGATGATGACCGTGACTATGGTGACGAGGAGGACGGGGTTGATCACAATAGACGCGTTCGATAGCTGATGATAATGATATCGACGATCGGGATGATGGAGATGATGGCGACGAGGAGGACCGGGAGCAGGGAGGTCGGGGAAGGTGATGATGGGGACGAGCAGGAGCGGGAGCAAGGAGGACGAGGAAGGTGATGATGGCGACGAGGAGGAGCGGGAGCAAGGAGGACGAGGAGAAGGGTGGAGGAAGAAGATAAGGAGGAGAGCGGAGGAGAAGGATGGAGGAAGAAGACAAGGAGGAGAGCGGAGGAGAAGGATGGAGGAAGAAGACAAGAGGTAGACTGGGAGTTACCGGCTGCCGATGACGAGGCGAGTACATCCCCTCCGATGGGTGCGAGGAGGAGCGGGAGCAAGGAGGACGAGGAAGGTGATGATGGCGACGAGGAGGACGAGGAGGAACGGGAGCAACGAGGATGAGGAAGGTCATGATGGCGACGAAGAGGACTGGGAGCAAGGAGGAAGGAGAGAGAGGAAGAGGACAAGAGGAAGACTGGGAGTACCGGAGACTACATCCCCTCCGCCCTCGTCTTTTTTTTTGTCGGGCGCTGACGATGACTTCCATTTTCCTTTTTCTCCGGTTTTCTTTTCCGCCCCGATTATTGTGGAATTATGATAAAAAACCGGAGGAGGAAGGTGTGCTTGAGGAGAGGGAAGAGAAACAGCAGGAGGAGGAGGAGGAGGAGGAGGAAAGATGGAGGAAGAAGGATGAATTAAAATTTATGGTCATGTCTTTCTCTTTCTGTCTGTCTGTCTGTCTCTCTCCCCCTCCTCTGTCGTGTCTGTTTTTTTTTACACCAGTACGTGATTGGTTATGACAGTGTGGGGAAGAAGTGAAAGGGGAGGATCGTAATGGACTGGGAGTCGAACTAGCTGGGCAGCTCTCGCTCGGACTATGCGATCAGGCGATGACAGTGTGGTAATGAAGGGAAGGGAGGGAGGATCGTGATGGATAGAAGGAGACGAAGTGGAGTGGGGGGATCGTGATGGGTGCTGATGGACTGGCGGACAGATGGAGATGGAGGATTCGAGGACGAGGGTGTGATGAGGAAGGGAAGGGGGGACGTCGTGATGGGCGAGAGGCGGAAAGGAGGGTGATCGACAGAGGACAGCGGGAGAAGAAGGGAAAGGGGGGGGGGGGGATGGTGATGTGCAGGCCGGCCAGCAAGCTGCAAGGATGGTCCTCGCTCGGACTGCATGATTGGATTATGACAGTCTGGTGACGAAGGAAAGGGGGGGGCGAGATCGTGATGATGTGTATAAGAGACAAGTATAGTACGGGGGAACACCAACCAACCCGGATCTCTCCCCAGCCCACGGGGTAGGTTGGCACCACGGTTTTCACAGCCCCAGCCCCGGGGGTCCGGTGCCTGTCTCTTATACACATCTAGATGTGTATAAGAGACAGAGTCTATTTATAGTACGGGGGAACACCAACCAACCCGGATCTCTCCCCAGCCCACGGGGTAGGTTGGCACCACGGCAGTGGTGCGAGAGCAAGGCTGTACCAGTCNTCACTACTCACCGCATGCACAAAAGCGAAAAAATATCTCGGTGCGTCATCAACACTGGGCGGCGAAGTCGAGATGGAGAGAGGATTGGACGATGATGACGATGTGATGAGGAAGGGAAGGGGGCGCAGAAAGGACGGTGATCGACAGAGTAGAGAGGGAGAGGAAGGGCACGGGGGCGATCGTGATAGGCAGGCGAGCGAGCTGCACAGATGAGCCTCGCTCAGGCTTACGTGTTGACAGTATGGTGACAAAGGGAAGGGATCGTGATCGACTGGAAGGCAAATAAGGTGGACAGATGGGGATGGCGTGGCGTGATAAAGAAGGCAAGGGTGGCGTCGTGATAGTCAAGGCGGCCAGCAAGGTGGACACATGGAGATCGAGAAAGGACGGTGATCGACAAAAGGACAGAGGGAGAGAACGGGAAGAGGGGGAATCGTGATGGGCAGAGGGAGAGGAAGGAAAGGGGGGAGAAGGGGGGGGGGGGGGGAGGGGAGCACAAGGCGGCCAACAAGTTGCACAGACGAGCCTCGGTCCACTGCTCACGACATGCACAAAAGAGAAAAGATGTCGTGGTGTATCTTCCCATTTCGGCCAGCAATCAGGGCAGGCTGGCCTGGGCAGCAAGCTGCACAGCTGATCGACAGAGGACAGAGGCATAGGGAAGGGAAGAGGGGATATCGTGATGACCAGGCCGGCCAGCAAGCTGGACACATGGGCCTCACTCAAACTCTGCTCATATCTAGGGAGCCAACAGTGTCCTGCGTGCTGTGTGGCGCCAGAAGTCGAGTGGCAACGATGGCCGGCCTACGACATGTTCCCCCCAAGCGGACAAAATTCAAGCATCAGGGATGATGCTCCTCACATCCTCCAACGGCCAATGATGACACGAACAGCTTCTTGAGGTGGATCTTTTCTGGTGTCCGGCACAGAGGGTCGGCGCAGTTGGGTGGGAGGGTCGGTGAAGTGGGGAAAGAGGTTCGGCGCAGTCGGGGAGGAGGTTCGGCGCAGAGGGATAGGAGGGTCGGCGCAGTGGGACGGGAGGGTCGGTGCAGTGGGGGAGGAGGGTCGGTGTAGTGGGGGAGGAGGGTCCGCGCAGTGGGACGGTAGGGTTGGTGCAGTCGGGGACGAGGGTCGGCGCAGTGGGGTGTGTGTTTGCCCACAGAAACACACACACACACACAACACACACA